TGTTTTCTGTTAATCTTCTTCTCTGAAATTCCTAGCAAGTGTATCTTTTATAATACTTATCTTCTAAAATATGTGGTTTAGGAAGATGCATCCTTTGGACACGTTAGACACAGAGCTCGGCTGTGAGCTCCTGTCTCAAGCAGGTAGTCAGAAGCAAGTCTTCCAAAAATAGGGCTCTTAGTCTCAAGCTCTTGAAGCCATAAAGGTGTTCAAGAAACCCTGTCTCTAGATGACTAACGGCCTAGCCCTCTTCTGCAATATGAAAGGGAGAGTTCATTTTCCATTTGGGGCCAGCATTTAGCAATAGATCTATCTGAGCAGTCTTCAAAGATACTGAGAACATGGCAAGAATATTGCCTTTCTTTGCTGTACCACACTGTAACACCTGCAGGTTCTTTATGTGCCTGTAATATTACATCTTTTACACAAATGGCATGAGATTCATATGAAAAAAATGTGTTGTGATACACACCTGTCAAAAACAAATGATTTCAGAGTAACCCTGAGCAGATCTAACAATGACTGAAGTCCTGTTTGGTTAATAACCTAATTTAAAATTTAGACATTTATTTAAAATTATTTAGACATGCTTGAATGACTACCTTATTAGAAAGTAATTGAATTTTTTTAATCTGTCCATTTAAGTTCAATTCTCTGTTCTGGAAAACTTCTTTTTAAAACCTGTTTAATTATTAAAGCATTTTTGAGGGGGGAAAAAAATTATAGATCAGTTCTTTATGAGTAGAAATACGCTGATCCTGGATCTTCCAGAGAGGCTGTTATATATACTACCACCAGGGATAGCACATTTCTGATGAAAGGCTTCTGGTTTAGACATTCACAGTTTAGATGACCATAGCACTAATAAATAGTATCAGTTACAGTGTCTTGTTTTGAAACTGCAGAGTACTTTACAAACTGGCTATAAGAAACACATCCATAGAGATCACTTCATTTCTCACTGATATACACCCACCTCTGGATGCTATCTGATGGCTCTTAAAGAGCCTGTGGCAACACTGTACAAGATTTCTGACCAGAAATTGAGACGTCATACTTGTTTGGAAATACAAGAGGGAAGGTATACGTGGCTAAGAGCAATAAAACTGAATGTAAACCAGGCTCTTTTTCTGCAGCGGCATCTCATTTTGTTTCCTCTGACTTTAACAGTGCAGAATCCAAATCTAAAGGCAAACTAATCATTTACATTCCAAATACTTTCACTGACAAAACCAGGGACCCAGTCATCATACCCAGTAAAAACAAGTAAAGTTTAAGAATAGTCCTATCCTTCCTTTGCCCTTTACATGCTGAGTAGAACAAATACAAAGGAACACCATGTCTATCTAGGTTGAGAGCTTTTGAAAGTGTCCCACTTGCTGTTTGAGCCTCATTAAGAGCATCAACAACAAAACAAAGTTTTCTACAATTATAAAGTCAGATCCCACACTGAGAGGTAAACAGCTTTTCAGCACACAAAGCAAAAGTCAAAAGAAAAACTTTTATGGAAAACAGCAGTAGAAATTAAGACAGAGCGTTAATCGCCATTCCATACTTTTGGATTTGGTTAGTGAGTTTTAAAACATCAGTTAAAACAAAGAAGATCATTTTAACTTACCATGCAGTAGGGTTAGGAACTCACAGTGTCCTCTTCCTAATCATATTGCAAAAATGCACGTTGAGTGGAAGCTGGCTACTAAGCCTATTTTTATAGACATTAACGACAAGAAAGTCTGTCTCTCTCTGACTTGCCCAATTAAACAGAAAAGACCCAGGTGATCAACAGACACTCTTTTCCATTCTACTTCCTGCTATTTAGCATTATGTAAGGCATATGGGAGCAACATTTTCAAGCTGTTGCTTGTGTAGACCAGAATTCAGGAGACCACCTTTTTAAGTCTTTTTTCTGACATTAGTTCATTAAGGTGTCATTTTCTCTCGCTGTTTTCCCACATGCAACAGTGATTCTAATTGATGAACTGGACTTTCTACACAAATATAAACTGTTCTCAAGATGGGAAGAGAGCTCTTTGTTTACTGCAGGAATTTAAATGGAATTTGTAAATCCCCTAGTCATGATCTTTCTGTCTGGAGGGATATAACTTCTGCAATGCTATTGAGCTGAAGAAACCTGTTAAGTGGAGATGTAAATAATGAACAGTTGTGGGGGTAATCTGCCTCCTCAAAGACAGAGGGCCAGGGACAGCTTTGATTATCAGCTGTCTGTGAGGAGTCAGATGATTTTGATAAAGGGCTGAGAGACATCACTATTGAAAACATTGTGAGGAGGAAACTGGGCTGCTTTTGATGTGCAAAGAAAATTCTGTGTTCCCGCAGGCTGATTAGGTCAATAGTTTATATTAACAGATAGTTTATGTTTGAATTAATAAACCACATTACAAGGCAAGAGCTTGGGCAAAACACAAGACTTTTCTGTAGGTGTTAGAAAGAAAACACCAGATTACGCCCTTCTTCCTAGGAAGTCAGGGAAATAACTAAATGCTTTATTCTCTATGCTGTGTCAAACAACATTTGCTTCCTACATACACACACAGAAACTTAGTTCCTGCAGTGTTACTCCCTCTTTGCCTACTCTGTACTTTCATAAGAAGAGGCAAGTCCAGTTGTTTTCTTTTAGTCTGGATAATGACTTGTGGAAGTATGCAATTAAGCGACAGGTTACTGCAGGGCAATTCTAACTAGGTTAGATTGGCAAAAGAGGTGCTCCAGAGTGAGACAGGCTTTTCTATTAATCCAGGTGGTAACGGAATCAGATCTGATTTGTAAGCACTCCACGGGCATTTAGGGTCTTGATTGGGGTCTTGCAGTTAGAACTATCATCCCCCATAACCAAACGGAAACAGATCTTGCAGTTTGGTATATCGTCTGTCAGGTACTCCTGACAACTCACAAGAAAAAAGCGTTGTGCAAGCAAAAGCACGAAGGGAAGGGAAGGGAAGGGAAGTCAAACTGTTGTGATTTTTCCCCTGCCATCCTCAAGCAAGCTCAGTCATTGCACTGCAGGATAATCTCTGAATAACTGAGCAAAACCGAGCCTTAGAAGCGCCCTCGCCTCTTTTTGCAACACCACAAGCTCGTCTATTACAAAGCTGTTCCCGGTGGTGATATAATGTAATACACTAAAAAGTGAAGGACTGCCCTCTTGTGTCAGTCACTATTTTTTAATTTGCCTGGTTTTATATTCCTGTTTCTATTAGTGAGTGAGCTGTCAGCCATTTCCCTCCAACAGATATTTCTTCTTTGGAAAGGCATAGGATTTGCTTCTGAGTACTATCCTGATGGAAAAGTTCAATAAATAAAAATACATCTGCTGTATTTGTGACTTGGAGACACCCAGGACTGAGCATATATTGCTCTTCCAGCTAGAGACTTCCAAATAGCTACGCTGGGTTATGCCTAGTCTCCATCTTGACACAGAAAAAGAAGGCAGAGGAGAGAATAAAACAGGAGAAGTATAATTAAGAAGGACAGCTAAGAGACAGAAGAGAAGCAGATTTATTAAACCAATCTTTCCCTGCAACCCTCATAGTAAGCTATGTGCAAGTTAAATATAGAACCAACACTTCTCTAGGGAGCCGGACTCATGAACAGCTCACACACCATGAACGTGTAGCAGAGATTCTAGTCTCAGTCGTGTTGGCTGGCAGGGAGATCTTAATTTTTTAAATAATTTGTGCTCATTTCCAGGATAGTTCTTGCAGTAATGGCTGTCAGAGAATAGTCTTCTAAAAGCTGTGCAAGATTTTGTGCCCACCACTTCTACTGCTTATTAATGACAGACAAATAAATATTTGCAGAAGGTAGGCCCTTTTCACAGCTACCAAAGCAACTTCAGTGAAAATGAAGACCACCAGTCATCTTCTTTTTAGTAGAAGGTCAGTCAACATTAACTCTGACCTAGCACTCCACACTTTGTGTTACATTCGTTAATAGCACCTAGTGCTCATGCTTTCAT